CACCAGGGCTCCTTATGAAGTAATAATGAAGAACTTTAGAAAATCTTGATTGAACTTAAAAAGAACCCTTATTATTATGAAGCATTAAGGAAATAGTTACTCTCATGTAATATTATTATTAGAGTTATAACATTTTACAACGTCTTAAAGAACTCACTCTCAAATAACAATACATATGTTTTTTGATTCTTCTGGTTCCCAAGAATATAATGAGTTCAACATAAGCTTACTGAGAACATACTTTGACAGATGTGAAAAAAAAGTATAGTAATTCTCATTTCAGTACTGTTTAAAATAAAAAATGAAAGTATCCTAATCAATGGGAGAGATTGATTATATAAATGTATATTATTGCACTAGAGAAAATTAGAAAGCTTTTACAAAGACCTGTAGTATATTTATTGTTTGAGGACTGTCTGTCTTTCTGAACTCCATGAAATCATGGATTGTTTTACTGTATACTTTTGCACCTAAGGATTACAAACCTTGAAATGTGAATTAACTAGGACATGCTGAAAAGAAACAATGACAAGGCTTCCACAGCCATGTTCTATAATTCTGCTATTTAGACAACTGTTACTAAAATATATCGCTACATAATATATGGTCAAACTTTATGCATAATATTCTTTCAAAGCATTTACCTAGAGAATAGTCTGGTACCTTTTCAGCAAACTCAATATAAACAAAATTAAGACAAATAGCTTTGCAGTATATACAACTTATTTTCATCAGGCACTATATTGTAAAGGCTGGCTGCCTTTAATTTTCACAACTTCCAAAGAAAATCAGACTATTTTCAGTCATGCTTCTTTTAATGTGTTCCTGCTTGTAGCACAGAGAAGGGAGTGAAAAAGGCTTCCCTGTCTGCCTTCAAGCCCAAGAATAATTTGAAAGCAAAAATACAATGTACATTAAAAAGTACATCTGACATAATGCTGACTGAAGTTAGTCAATCACAAAAGGACAAATACTGTATGAGTCCACTGCTGACGGAACAAACAACAGAACAGGAGAGCGCAGGCTCGCAGGACATGCAGGATGCTGGCCAGTGGGGCCAGATAGCCTGGTACAGAGTCTTACTGGTGCCAATGAACGCTACACCATCGTCTCTAGGTATGTATCTTGAAGGTCACTTGGCTAGTGGGCACCTCAAGTCAGTGGGGAACAAATGGTTGAGGGAGGGGAGGCGAATGTTGCCTACTGAAAGCTATGACTTGGTTCACCCAGACAGGTAGACAGCCCTATCAGAGGGATGAGGGATACTGATGGGAAAGGATAGTCAGCAGAGGAAAACGGGAGCAAACACATCCGGGAAAATACAAATGCATGACTGTTGGTAGGAAAAGTGGGAGGACCGACTCCCAGGTTGGGTGCAGAATGACTGAGAATGCTTTCGGGCATCCTAGGTAGGGAGTTAGTGTCTGAGTGGTATGCACTGAATGGGCTACATGCTCCAGGGCTTCTGGGTGCATCCTCAGGACGCAGGCCAGGTGCAGGAGGACACTGGGACATTGAATCCTGGATCTTCAGGGCACATGGCAGAAACTCTACTGGGTTAACTGGACTCCACCTCACACTGTAATCTGAGTACTTAAGTCGGGAAAGACATGGTGTCTAAGGAAACAGAAAACAGATGTACCAAGATTGTTGAAATGTTTGTTGGCAGACAGACAAACACGGTCATGCCACATCAATGCCGTATATGCTGTATTGAGATATATATTACTCTGGCAAACCTGTGACTGACATTCTCAGTGAATATTATTGTAAAAAATTTCCCTAAAACCAACTCCCATTGTCTTTGTAAATAGAGTCCAGCAATGAAATGACTGATTCTGTGTAAATGAGTAATTCAGGTACTGCAATATGGAGTTAGCATACATTGGACCAATATCCCTCTCTCAACAGTGCTTTAAAAAATTAGTATCAGGAGATAATCAAAGACAATACTAATGGAAGATCTTTATGCCACAAGGGGATAAGGCTCTCTACCAGAAATAAACAAAGCTTTTGAAAAGGAGACAAATGCAGATTAAAAAGCATAGACCCAGAAATAAGTTTAGGGCTTGCACTAAATCCTAGCTCCAACTTAAGAACAATTAGTTCTTACATCATGGCCCTGCTTGATACTCGCCCTCAGAATGAGAAAACAGACTATATGGAAGCTTAGCAAAATGTGGTGAAGAACTTAATAGTGGCCAGCTATAAAATAAAATCATGTGTGGGATCTTAAAGGCTTGTTTCCAAACAAGCAGCCATCTAAGTGAGATGTCATATAAATCCACATGGAGGAAACACACCAACTTCAGTGACCGAAGGTTTATAAATCGTATAATGCAAAGCCGAGAAGGGAATAGTATCAGAGCCTAAATTGTGAGAATCGGGTTTGCAGAAAGCTTTGGATGACAGTTGGAGTCCAAGATATGTTTGGGGATGTACGTGGGAAATAAGCATCCAGGGATTTCCCTATCCACAATTGAGGGATGGGAGGAAAGTGATTACCAAATAGAGTGGATAGGGAAAATGACTATATAGAGCAAAATGATAAACCTGACTGGACTGATTAAAATCGTGTTGATGGAGTTCCTCTCTGATGAGCATTGTCTATATTTTTGCTTTTTGTTTGCTCATATTGGGCTCTATCACAGATGTGCTATGTCATTTGGGGGTGACCCTCTTGAATTTTTGTTACATGTGCTTCTGTTTTTCAGTATGTGAAACCCAGGGTTGATGAACCTATAGAGGAAGCAAGTAGAATAAAGGTTTCTGGGAGGTGCAGTGGTGATGGTGGGGGTGTAGAAAGGTGAGCTGACATTAAGAGTTCAAGAAGTAAAGAATATTTTGAAACTGATTGTGGTATCAATTGTATAATACTGCTTAATGTGACTGAAATATGGAATGGGATATCGGTATTAACTCCCAATAAAATGATTTTGAAAACAAAACAGAACAAACTGCCTCTGAAAGGCATTTTAAGATACAAATCTTAATGTGCAAACACACTAAAAATTACTTGTAACTAGCTTTCACCCTACCCTTTTCCTAGTAAAGAACATTTTAAACGAGGATAAGCTATCCAGAAATGGGGATTTACTGTTATTGAAGGAAATGTCCTCATTTTATATCATATGAATCGACAGCTTAGCGTGTCCATGTTATTTAACCCAGAGCATGCTCCACCGATGCTTTCATTAGCTTCCAGCATCAGAGCTACTTTCAGAAGACCATTCCAGAAGGAACACTGAGAGTGGTGTTTGAAATGTGTAGCCTCATGAGGAAAGATAACAATAACTTTCTCAATCAGCCCAAGGTGAAGTTACAAGGGAAACTGATGACTCAGTCAACGCGTCAAACCCAATCAGAACGCTGTTGTAAGTGTGCTTGAACACTCTGCCTAGATGCAGCTTCTCCACATTCCAGCTGTTAAATGCTGAAGGTTGATAAAAGGTCAGTCATTACTGTTTTGGAGTGGGCTTAATTGAATTGTTTATGAAAGAAATTTGTGAATTCGCTCCCTTGACATATATAATTTGTTCTTGGATTAAGAGTGTGCCATTTCTGTAACCCGTCGTTTCTTTAAGAAGACGGCAATCATACATAAGGGTTAAATCCTCTTTTCTTGAAAAAGAAACTAAACCCAAGAAGTGTAACAAGCAACTATGTTCTCTTTCAGGCAATCCTCATTTAGCATTGTACTGTGTTCGATGGAAATGGGTTTTGATTTGATGTTCAACCTATACTGTGCACATCGGACGGTGTCTCCACTTTGTAAGGGTTTTTAGTGCTAGGGATCAAAACTCATCCAATGTGTGTGAGCTTCAGTTAACATTGCACCTTGCAAAGGGAAGGTTAACTCGGATTTTTTTTATTCTCAACAGAAGAAAAACATCAATGTTATGTGATCAAATAATGTGAGGTTGCCCAATGAAAGATACATAGATTATTCTAATGACTATATTGCTCTCTGTTAGTTCAATAACTAAATAATAATGCCAAAAAATAAAAACAAAAAAAGTGGAGAGTATTACCATTCAGTGAATTGAATTCTCAGGTAAATGCTGCCCAGTTTATTCTCAAAGTATCAATGTAGATAATTGTCTGAAGTCAATTCAATATCATAATACTAATCTGAAAAAGCTTGAAACACATTGCAAGTAACAGGTAGAGGGAGTACCTACCTCAAAGCCAGGACTCACAGGAGACTAAAACATGAAGTTGAGAGTGAAAAGCAGGCAGATGTGAAGAATAAAAGGGAGGAAGAAGACAGGAAAACACTGTTAGTGGAGGAATGCTGGGCACACTGCTTGTGCAAGGCACACAGCGCACACCATGACACATACAGGGGTATTTTCAAGATAAAGTAAAAACTTATCACTCTAGCTAGCCCTTATGGCCACAGAGATATCTGAGTTGGAAACTTCTTTTTAAATTTTTGTGGAGCTTTACTACAAAAACAGTTGTGACCTGGTAGATGTAAAAAAAAAAAAAAAGTCAACTCTTGCCATGCCATCAGTGATAAAGATGACTCTTTCACCTTGTTGAAAATAAATTAGAGTCAAAATGAAGCACTGTTGACCTTTAAATGAAAGCTGAGATTGTCTTCATAATAATTTATCTTCTCAATGGGAAAAGAATGAAAAAGGTCACCACAGTAATCACCATTACAGAGTGGTTAGCTTTCTGCCTGCAGGATAAGCTAATGAGTAGTCAGTAAAAGTCATTGATTTAGAAACGTGACAAGTCCAATAGTGGCTAAGAGTTTTAGTAAGAATAATATGCCAACGACCCATTCTTTGTCCATTTTAGAGTCTTTGTTGCATACCATTATCATCCATTTGATGTCACTTAAATTGGCATATATTTGACTTTTGTTTAAGAGTAGATCATCATTGAAGACATTAAAAACCTGGGTAAAGTAGACCACGCATTCCTGATACTTTGAGGTGAAGTGAGTTGAACATTGGACTACTAACAGAGGGGTCAGTTGTTTGAAGCCAACAGTCGCTCTAAGAAGAAAAAGACGAGGAGGTCTGCTCTTGTCAATTCCCAGCCTCAGAAACCATATGGAGTGGTTATAATCGAACCCGTAGGAACGCTATGAATCCGAATTAACAGCAGCATGTTTTTTCTAACCTTTGCTTCCCTAATCTTATTAAGTTATCAATGATAACTACAAACCAACATTTAGTCAATGCTTTTGCTTAACAACAACAAAAAATAATGCAAGACTGCTTTGAAATTGGTAGCTTTTCCAGTGAATAAACCATTGCTCATTATGCAAAAATCCTAAATTCTAGTCTCTGAACAACTGGTTTCCTAGTTTTCAACTTGTTGTTAGGCCCCATGGGATCGGTTCGAACTCATAGTGACCCTGTGTGCAGCAGAGCACAGCACTGCCCTGCCTGTCTCATCCTCACAAGTGTTGTGTTTGAACCCATTGTTGTAGTCACTCTGTCAATCCCTCTCCTTGATGATCTTCCTCTTTTCAATGACCTTCTAAACACATTGTGCCCATTTTCAGGGATGGGTATCTCATGATAGCATGTCCAAAGTACATGAGAAGGAATCTTACCATCCTTGTTTCTAAGGAGCATTCTACTTGTACTTTTTCCAAGATCAATTTGCTTGGTCATCTTGAAGTCCATTGTATTTCAATATTCTTCTCCAACATCATCATTCATGTACTTCTTCAGTCTTTATTATTCATTATCCAATTTCACATGCAAGTGAGGCAACTGGATTGAACACAGAATGGTTTGGGTCAAGTGCACCTTAATCCTTTAAGGTGCCTCTTGATCTTCAACACTTTAAAGAGGTCTTGTGCAGCAGATTTGCCTAATGCAGTAGTTTGATTTCTTGACTGTTGCTTGAATGAACATTGATTACAGATCCAAGCAAGATATAAATTTTTCATCTTCAATTTTTTCTGTTTACCATGATGTCAACTATTGTTCCAGTTTGGATGATGTTGGCTTTCTTGAAACGGTAATCCATACTGAAGTCTACAGTCCTTGATCTTCATCAGAAAGTTCTTTAAGTCCTCTTTACTTTCAGCAAGCTAGGTTGTAATAACTGCATATCACAGGTTATTAATAAACCTTACTTTACTCCTAATGCTGTATTATTCATATAGTTATGTTTTTGGATTGTTTCCTCAGCATATGTTATTTGCTCAAATTGAGTACATGTTTCCTAATTTCAAACCATATGGTATTTATTTGTTCTGTTCAAATGACTGTCTTTTGGCCCATGTACAGGAACCACAAGAGAGGACTCTGGAACTCACATTCTTCTCAATGGTATCCATAGTTTACGATCATCCACACAGTCAAATGCTTTTGTATAGTAAATAAGACACAAGTAAGCACATTTGTCTAGTCTTTGCTATCAGCCAAGATCCATTTGACATTAGCAATGACATCTGTCATGCCTTGTCCTCTTCTAAACCCAACCTGCAATGGGCAGCTCCCTGCTATGGACTGCTGTAACTTGCAGTTACCCCATTTTGAGGAGATTGAGAAACGGCATAGCTTTAGATTAATGTCCTCCCAAGACTAATTGTTAACCAGTAATCCCTGCTTGTAAATATTTCTGGATTGACATGTTTACTCAATATGCAGAACTCAGAGATAACTGCTCATTCGAACACTTCTACATATGACTTTCATGGAGAAAAATGTAACCTTTGCAGTCACTATTATGGGAGATTCTAATGCAGAGTTGGCAAAGCTTTCTCTTTGGGAGATGAAATAAATCAATTGCTTCGCAATCCAAAATAAGATATTTTCTTCAACATCTATATATCTGATAGTCATACTCTTGGGGCTTCCTCCAATCAGCAACCTCAAATATCTCTATCCTGGATCTCACTGAAACTTGATTTGAATGCTGGTCAGTTCATGGTATTTGAAGAGGATTTATATAGCAAAAATTCACTCATTTATTCCTTTAAGTTAAGATATCCAAAATTATGTTTGCTTCCACAGGGAAGTTTCCTCCGAAAAGGTGTTCCCTGTCCAAGTAGTATAGGATCACTGGTTTTCTGATTGCAATATTTCTGAAAACATTTACTATGCTTAAGGTGAATTTCCAATATTTGGATGGAAAAGGAAGTATTTCCCAATCTTATTTGACCAAGAAACTATTTTCAAGAATGTTTCTGGAACCATTATTTTGAAGGAAAAAGTGGTTAGAGAACATATAGTCTTGGTATTTTATGCCCAATCACATATCTAGATTAGCATCAAAATGGAAACACCAGCAACGTCCAATGAGCAGAAAAAGAGAACGTAATATTAATTTGGCAGCTTGTTGTAATATTATACACTTTTTGTCCTTTTTTTTCTTGTATTTTACCTTTAAATTAAATCATATGAATTATAGTTTTACATTTTGGGGAAAACCAGTATACAAAACAGTGCTAATTATGCAGATGAATACTACGTATTCAAGGACAAATATAGTAGTGCATTCCTATTAAATCACCTTTTAAGTACAAGGCAGTACTAATATCTTATTACTGGATAAATTATATAACATAAATTTGTTTTAATAGTTGGATTAAAGAAATCTTAGTCTCAGTTTAATTATGAAATATTATAAATTTTCCTCACATGTTTTATGTTAACAAACTCTCATGATCTCGAATTGCCTGCTATTTGGATAGTTAGTGGTTAAAATTTTAAAACATAAAAATATACATGTAGTAAAACCAAAAACCCAAACCTATTGTGATTTAGTTGATCCTGACTTAGAGCAAACCAAGCGGCCGAGGAGAACTCCCTCATAAGGCTTCTAAAACTATTTTTTTAGGAAAGCACACTGCCATATCATTTTCCCTTGGAGAAGCTGGTAGGTGCAAACTGCTGCCCTTTTAATTAGCAGCTGAAGGCTTTACCACTGTGCCACCAGGCTCCTTGTGTGAAACCGCATGCACAAAATTCAAGGTGTTCAGATTGGTGAGATTTGAAATATGCATGAGTCCACTGACCACCCACCCAGAAAATGGCATAGCATCTTTTCCACTAATCCCGAAGGCATACTTCTGCCTCCCATTTGGCATCACCCTGAGAGGAATCATTTTTCTGACCTCTTGTAATATAAAGAAGTTTGCCTGATTTGAATTTTGGGTTTGATTCACAAATGCATACTCCCGTTTATTTAATTTACATCTACTATTATTTTTGTAAGATTCATCCGAGTTTTGAGTAAGCCAGTCGTTTTTAAAAAAATTTATTGTCATGTAATATTCTATTATTTGATTATAGCACAATTTAGTTCTTTCCAAACTTTAGGTATTGTTGTTAAGTATGTTAAGAAAAATGACGGGAACTGTCTGTGCATGCAAGTATACATTTCTGTTGGATATATAACTTGCAGTGAAAATTCTAGGTCACGTGAAATACTGTGGTGGAGTGACATTTCTTAATGTAGCTCTTTCATCCATGTCTCTGAAGGAGCCCTAGTAGCATCATGGTTACTTGTTGGGCTGCTACCTGCAAGGTCAGCCGTTCAAAAACTACCAGGTGCTTCTTAGGAGAAAATCTTCGTTTCCTACTCCCTTAAACAGTTACAGTCTCAGAACACCCCCACCCCCACCCCGGAGCAGTTCTAGCTTTTCCCACAGGGCTGTTGGTTGGAAATGACTCAATAGCAGTCCACAGCTCTCTGAGTCACACCAAATAATTAGGTGACACTATGCAAATAGGGCAGGTGTAAGACCAATAGCGGAGGATGGTCAGTTCTACTTGCCATTCCTGCCTATGAGGATGGGTCGCCTCAGTAGGAAGGGAAAGAAATCCCAAGGGAGCACAAGCAGAGGCACCAGAGGCGGAGGCAAGGTGAAGAGCAAACAGAAGCAAGGAGCAGAGTGGAGACAGAGCAGCAGGCTGACCTCCTGGACTACGGAGGCAGAGGGCAAGGGACCATGCGGGTGAGAGGCTGAAAACTGGAGAGTTATTTGCTACTGACTGAAGAGAAGTGTTGCTGTGGACCAATAATAGCCTCCCTCTTTAGTAATCTTTGTGGTAATCGGTAAATTCTTCTAATAAATCTCCTAAATTTTGAGCATTTTCTGTGAGTTCGGTGTGGTTATTACCATGAACCATCTCATTCAGCATTGAAGTGGAGTGCTGTGGAAGGAATGGTTGATGTCAAATTTGTAAAGAAAACTGGAGGGTGGAGGCATGTGTGACCTTTGCCT